CTCCCAGTATGTGATAGGGGGCAAGCTGGGCTGAGGGAACCCCCTCCCCAGTGCACAAATTTTTGTGCACCGGGCCCCTAGTCCTATACAATAAAAGCCTAGGTGGCGTCACGCCCTCACACAACATCATCACAAGATGGCCGCCACAAGATCACGCACAGCGGAGGAGGGGCCCAGTGGCTGCTCTGTGCAGTGAGGCCTGGGGGTCCCACACTGCGCAGCACAGAAGAGGCCAGTCCCAGTGGAGGAGGCGGGTCATGGCAGGGGAGGGCAGTAGTGGGTGATCAGGTCAGCAGGAGAGGGCAGTTGGGGGCAATCAGGTTGGCGGGGATGGGCAGTTGGGGGCAATCAAGCCAACAGGGGAGGCCATTTGGGGGCGATAAGGCCGGCAGGGGAGCGGTTAGGCGTCAATCAGGCCGGCAGGGGAGCGGTTAGGGGGCGATCAGGCAGGCAGACAAAAGCGGTTAGGGGAAATTGGGCAGGCAGGCAGGCGAGCAGTTAGGGGCCAGCGGTCCTGGATTGTGGGAAGGATGTCCCCCAAGGGGTTCCAGATTGGAGAAGGTGCAGGCCAGGCTGGAGGACACCCCTCCCTGATGCACGAATTTCCTGCACCAGGCCTCTAGTGTCTATATGATATTCTATGTAATGATATTCTATATAATGGCATGCTGCATCTCATCTTTTCCCAACTATGCATTCACAGGAAATCAACTGCCACCACAAATGTGAGATTATTGGAGAAGCATTTTGGGTTAAATATTAACCAGCATACCTCTGGTTAAAATTCCTAAAAATTACACAGTGAATTCAGTTTTTAGCTCAATGAGTTTGAATTAACTACGCATGTAGAGATGTCAAATAATCTACTAGATACAAAGAAATAGCCCAGATATATATAACAGGCTGTTCCAAAAACATGTATACACATTTTGAATAATTATTAATTCCAATGGGTTAAATCTGTAAAGAAACATCAATTGAGCTATCAACTGTTAAAGTGTGAATACATTTTTGGGGGACACCCTATATTTTCGCACTAAGAGTACATACATAGCAGCTGAAATACAAAACATGGACAAAATTAAGCAAGAAAGTCTTTAGAGAAGAGGACAGATAGTGAGCACATATGAAAAAAATTTATTTTGTGAAAAAATTTCATTTTGTGAAAAAAGTCAACTTTGGAGTTTGTAAGTAAAGCAACAATGGCTTCCAGCTCAATTTAACTACTTCCATTTATCACTATCCTAATTTTCAGTTTTAACTCCTACAATGCTTCTAGCCACAAAAGTTGTATAAATAGATGTAGTGAGAGGATTACATTATTCTGCAATTTGAATCCAACATCCACATCTTGGCTAGCACGGGTAATGGTATTTCAGGCTATCTATTTAGACAAAGCTAACAAGTTGGTTCAAACCCTGAAGTAGCTACCTCAAGCACATGTTACCCTTTGAATACTAAAGAAAAATGAATTATTTAGGGATGATTATATCATATTTAAGACATCAATGATACAGAGTATATTTTAAGGTTTAGTTTCAACGAATCATAGAACCAAAATAGACTTTAAAAACTATTCTGATAGCTTCATTGTTATTGCTTTTCTCTCCACAAGAAAGAGCTATTTGCCAAATTAAATGTCCAGGAAAGTGTTTTAAATTAATTTTTTTCCTTATAGATATCCAAACATTTGGTTATCTAAAATTAACATGGAGTTCCCAAAGGAGTGGATTTTCCTTCTCCCATCCTCCTAACATTCATGAGTGAGTATTAAAAATTTAGGTGATTCTTGCCAGACCAGTGTGGCTCAGTGGTTGAGCATGGACCTATGAACCCAGTGGTCACCCTTCAATTCCTGGTCAGGGCACATTCCCAGGTTGCAAGCTCCATCGCCAGTAGGGGGTGTGCAGGAGGCAGCCAATCAATGATTCTCTCTCATCATTGATGTTTCTCTCACTCTCCCTCCCTCTCTAAATTTAAAAGTATAATTTTTTAAAAATTAGGTAATTTTTATGGCTATTGTGGTGCCACCAATAACTCCAGAATTATCAAATTCAAATTCAGGTGATCTGGAATCTCTGGAGAGAGTAATCACAATATTTCTCCAGTGATAGAAGTCCCATCATTCCACTGAGAAAGTTAAAACTCTATGGATCTCAAAATGAATTAAGGCTATTATCACTTTCCAAATAGTAGTACTTGTGATTTCAGAACAGGACTCTCCCAAGGATAGTGAATTTAGCCCTTCTCCCATATGAAAACAAAAAAGAGGGCATATACAAAATAGATATAATACCAACATAAGAAAAATTATTGAACCAGTCTATCTATCATCTATGCTCTTTTTAAAAAATTAATTTTAGTGACCACCAGATTACAAAAACATTTTATCACTCTACTCTGAGATGCAAAGTGCAAGTAAAGTACTATTTTTTACTATTTATCCATGAAACCATTCTTGGACTTAAAGCACAAGGATTAAAAATATATATATTGCCAAATACAGACAGTTCTCGGGTTACTTGAGACTTGATGTATGTTGTTTCGTGGTTACGTCGCCATCTCTCATTTGATTTTTTAAAAAAAAGTTCCGTCATTTTGACGTATGTACATATGTGCTTTATGTTTTTTATTATTTATTTACCACAAGTAAAGGTAAGGAATTGTTTCTTTCTTTTAATTTTTTTTTACTGTTTCACTTCATTACTGCTGTGTATGTGTTCCATGTGAGTGATGTAGGTGTTTATGTAGGTGGTTCCGACTTACGGTGAAAATTGCATTATGTCTCGCCATAGGAACGGATCTCCAACGTAACTCAAGGACCTACTGTACACATTTAAAGAGAAAAACAAAACTCTAGGAAATAAGAGGAAAATTAGAGGCATAAATATAACTAGAGAAATTCCAAATTCACAAAGACTAAATAAAGAGGGATAAAATACATTAACTGGTAAGAATAACCTTTATGGCCCTAGCCCAGGGGTGGGCAAACTTTTTGACTCGAGGGCCACAATGGGTTCTTAAACTGGACCGGAGGGCCGGAACAAAAGCATGGATGGAGTGTTTGTGTGAACTAATATAAATTCCAAGTAAACTTCATTACATAAAAGGGTACGGTCTTTTTTTTTTGTTTTATTCATTTCAAATGGGCCAACGGGCCGGCGGGCCGTAGTTTGCCCACGGCTGCCCTAGCCCGTATTGCTCAATGATTATAGCGTTGGCAGGCTGGATTCCAGTCAAGGGCGGTCAAGGAAACATACCTCAGTTGCAGGGTTGATCCCCAGCCTCTGGTCAGGGTGTGTGCGGGAGGCAACCAGTCAATGTGTCTCTCTCACCTAGATGTTCCTCTCTATCTCTCCCCCTCCCTTCTTTCCTCTAGAAATCAATGGAAAAAATATCCTTGGGTGAGGATTAACAAAAAAAAAAGAAAAAAATTTTATGCAATATGCCATGTAAAATTATAAAACCATTCCTAAACTCATTCTGCATGACAGATATTGCAAAAATAAAAGTTTCTAAACTAAGTCAAAGGCATGTCAAAGAGATGTGAGGCACTATGGTGAGATTACAAATTATTCTCGGGCAAGAAAACAGCATGTGTCATTCCATGTAAAGTGCAATATTTTTTAAATGTTAAAAAATATATGCTAATTTACACATCTTTAAACTGGTCAAGGAATACAGCATGACTATACACAGTAAACTCTTAATTCTACTTACTCATTATCACTTAGCTTTTACAACTCACCTCCACATTTACCACACCTCTTAAAGATGCCTTTTAAATATATATATTAGAGGCCCAGGGTCCCTTGGCCTGGCCTGCGGGGATCTGGCCAAAACTGGCTCTCTGACATCACCCGAGGGGTCCCGGATTGCAAGAGGGCGCAGGCCAGGCTGAGGGACCCCGCAAGGGCATGATTGGGGCTGGGGAAGGACCGTGGGAGGGTTCCAGGGTCTCACCCAGTCCTGATCATCAGGACCCCAGCAGCAAGCTAAACTACAGGTTAGAGCATCTGCTCCCTGGTAGTCAATGCACATCATAGCGGCTGGTCGGACACTGAGCATATTAGGCTTTTATTATATAAAAGGGTACACACACACACACACACACACACACACACACACACACTGGGTAGTATACTAACTAAACCACATTAATTTAAAGCCTTTTCTCTGTCCTTATTACTCTAATTGTTTTGAAGCAATAAACAACTTTTTGACCATTTACTCTTTCTTGAAACCAACTATAGGCCAATTCCAGTCTTTCTGGTTCTTTTTCAGTGTCAAATCATTTCACTCCTTTCCTCTATCTACAGGGTATTCTTCAAGATTCTTACCTTGGACAAATTTTCTTCCTTTTTCTTTGTTGATTCTCATCCTCCCACCAAACTTAAAATATCATAGCAGTATATTTGTGGATAACTTCCAGATCTCTAGTTGGAATTTTCTCTTGAGAGTTAAAATAACTGTTAAATACTCTGTACCTAGTTTCAGTCAGTCAATAAATTTTTACTGCATAGCTGCTATGTGCCAGACACTAGTGCTAGAAATGTATTCAGAACCTAATATGAAAGTCACTGTCATCAAGGAACAGATCATGTAAATGACAGACCAAAAGTCGAACTCTAAAGGTCCAAAATTGACTATTGCTGTTTCCTCCTCTAATGGATTCAACATATTAATAGACTGCACATTCTCATTATTGCCAAGGCGATAATGTATAACTCCTTTCTCAATTCCATATTCGAGCTGTTACCAACTAAATCCTGTTCTTTATTTGCAATATTCTATTCCCACTGCCTGAGCCTAGTTCAAGCCATTAAATACTTTCACCCAAACTGCAACAACCATTGCTTCCGAAGCATTCTCTAATTTCTCATCTAATTCATCCTGAACTCAATTAACAGGTTAATTTTCCCAAACCACAAACAAATGTGATCCATCACTTCACTAAATAAAAATGTTTAATAGTTCCTCAATAGACAATTCAAATCCAAAAACTTCTTCAGCTTGGCATTTATAATCCTCCATTACCTGGTCTTTATCTATTAATACTTTTTCATCTCTGCCATCCACTATTTCCTTATCTTTAGCTCCAGCCAACATGGCTATTTAATATTATTTGGAAACTCCTTGAATAGTCCCTATCTATCTTCATTTATGTCATTTCTCTCCTCCCAACCCCAACCTTATTAACAGTCTTCATTCATTTGTATCTTTCAGAAACTTACCCAACCTTTGTTTCAAATAACATCATTTTTCAAAAATCATCCTTCCATCCTGACTCTATAATATATATGTAAAGGCTATTTTTAATGTAACTTTTACTTTACTTCTACTATATTTACCTATGTATGTTACATCCTTCCTGTTAAGATTACAAGCAACTTGAAATATGAATGTCTTATTCATCTTTGTCCTCCCACAGTATATTGCACATGGCTGACATTCAATAAATACTAAATACATGTTAAATTTAAAATAAAATATATACATAAAATAATAGCATGGTCCATAAAATTATATAAGAAGTTTCCTTCACTTTCTTATGGAGAAAAATCACTGCCATGAAAATATCTTTTGTAAAAGTCACCTTATTTAATTTTTTATAATGACAGATTAAAACGTGATTCCCGCCCTTCCCTCAACATTGATCAGTACACCTTCCACCTCTTATGTGTACATGAATAATTATAAAAACTTCCTTGGCTCAGAATATAAAATTGCTTTCCAAGGTTTCAATTTTACACTATTGTATATACCTAATGATCATACACTCAATCGCCTTACCATTGAAAACAGTAGTGTAGAAGGAAATGGCTTGCCTGGAGGCTGCCCCCAAACCCTATCACTAACACAACCAAACTTTTTTTTAGAGCGGGCCAGTCATAGTATAATTATACTTCTTGGTTTCCCTCCCTCCACACCTTCATAACATCTATCAACCCAAATGTTTGTGTAGAGCCATACTTTCAGGTTCACCAGTTTAAAATGATAGGTTTTAAGTTAAACAATTAATTCAACGAGGATTTACTGAATACCTACTATGTGGAAAGCACTGTTGAGGACACAAAAATTAATGACAATTCTCATCTTCTGGAACTCATGACTAAATGCACAACACACACATAAACAACTCCATTATAAGGCAGATTATGTAAGTGCTAAAAAGCTCCCAATAAGGTACAAGCAGAGCTCTATGAAAGAGAGAGATGAATTTAATCAAGAGTTACCTGAGAACCTTCTAATGAGAGATGGGTTTCTATTAGGCCTTTTTAAAATCAAGCAGTAACATTCATGATTTTCAAGATTATTATTTAAGTAAATAATTTCATTTGTTTTAAGTATTTTTATTCACTAATATTACAACAGAATTGGGTTTTTCCCATTGAAAAGGTACTGATGCAACATGCAAGTTAAAATTTAAGTTAAATGGCTATTTTTTTAGCTCACCTTGAAACATGGGGAAATGTATTTTACAGACAAAACTTGTGGGTTATAATTGAGAAGTAAAATTTTGTATGTTCAAGAGAAAGACATAATGTGTCCAATAACCTATATTAATAATTACTTAACACTATACTGTCAGAAGAAGGCTAGGTACATATAAATGGGCCACCCAATTTTTACAGATATTTGTTCAGCATACTTAATAGTACATTAAAAGGGAAAACAGTGAAAAAATGAAAATAAAATTCAGGGTCCTAGATTCATTTTTCATTCATACCACTTCCTGCAACATTGGCTTCTTCCAGATCTATGGCCAAAGGTCTGAATCAGACCTTGAAGCATATGCTTTTCAAGGAAGCTCCATGGACACCAACCATTTCTACATTTTTTAGATACTTCCTTGAGGATTCTGGGGTGCCATGACCTAACGCTGGATCTGCTGAACACTGCACAACAGATGAAAGGACCACACTCATTTCAGCTTAAAATAACTTGCACAGAGGGGTGGGGAAAGTCTGGGTTGGCAGATGCCTATGGAGCACATTTAAAAAGAAGAAATTATGGTAAGGCAGGAGTGAAAGCCAACCAGGGAACATGTAAAAATTAATATGGCATTCCCAAATGGCTACTATATTCTTTAAAAACTTTCGGCCTTTAATTACATTATGGGATTCATCAGACGCTTTGCAATCACTGCATTTAACAGTTAAGCCACAAATTCAGGGAAAACTGTAGGATGAATTACATGTCGTTTTAGAAAACATATCTGCATTTAAATCTTTCCTTAAAACCAATCTCTTCAGATTTACTATACAAAGGAATCAGACTCTGAAGATGAGTCCGGGGAGGCTGGGAAGGAATAAGTGATGTAAGTTTGGTATCGGGCTCGGCGGTGCGGCTTCCTGCCACGGCAGACAGGCGAAGGAGCCCAGGAGATGGGGTGAGCACGGCAGTATTTGCACATGGTAGTCACCCAACAACAGCCAGCGGCTGTCCAGCCTCCCCACGGCCCCCGTGGCCTCTGACAAGTCATCCCTTCCAACCTCCGTGTCTGTCCGCTCTCGCCCTGTCCGTGCAGGTGGCAACATCGCCCGCACACAGCACGACTGGCTCGCACTTCCCCGCGTCGGCACGAGCGGTCCCCAAGGCGGGGGAGGCCGCCCGGCCAGGGAAGTTGGGTGAAGTGGTCTGGCTCGCGGTCCGATCCGAGCTCGCAGCCCCGAAGACACCGGGGAAAGGAAGCGGGC